TCCTTTTGGACCATAGAATTTCCTTAGAAAAGGAAATTTCCTTGAAAATGGAAGCACTGGGACCAGTAGTCATGGAAATGGCGTCATTTTCACTCAAAATCCGCCATGTTTTTGGCTTCGCTTGGTTGACCGAACGAAGTATAGGAGCAGGTCCTCCAGTTATTATACAGCTCAGTGAACGTGTAACAGGGTGGACTCATTGAACTATAAATAAACTGGAAGGCTAACTGCTATGATGAAGGCCTATGATTTGATGAAGCCAAAATAGTTTTTCTGAGTTATGAGCAGAAATACTTGACCCCAAACGTCGGCCTATATATCAAATTGAAGCTATTGAAAATTGCTATTCGGTGTGGAAATTTCAAGACTTCAGCGAAAAGAAAAATCTTTAAAAAATACAAAAACAACTGCAAAACGGCAAATTATCGGTAATTATGTTTGTAGTTTTTCAATATTTCCCTTTTAGCTAAAGTCTTGAAATTTCTACACCAAATAGAGTTTTTCAATAGCTTCAATTTGATATATAGCCCAACGTTCAGTGTTGAGTATTTCTTGTCATAACTCAGAAAAACTAAAATGCACTGGCTTCAATTTCCCCCCCTGAGTTAGCCTTCCAGTTTATTTATAGTTCAATGCGTGGACTTTCGTCGACGCTGCATAAAAATAGTGCGGGCTCGTGAGCTTTTTCCCGCGAATTTCGCTTTTCGATGTTTGGGTTACAATTTCTAAGGGTGTTGAAGTTTACAGCATTGTGATTCACTGGTTTTTTAAAGTATCTGGGTTTTTATTGTTGGAGGTTCTAGCCTAACTCTTCAACAACCTAATGACTGGTGTCTTGGTGTCTTCATAAATTACAACCTCTCATGGGACGATCATGTTCATACCATCACCGCCAAAGGGAACAAGATGCTTGGCATGCTGAAAAGAACTTGCCCTCTACTGACTAACACCGCAGTGAGGCGGACGCTGTACTTGTCACTCGTGAAGTCCCAGATAAGTTACGCCACCGAAGTCTGGTCTCCTACCATCAAAATGAGATCCACAGTGGAACGTGTACAAAGGAGAGCCACCTCTTGGATACTGCAAGCCAAGCGCGGAGAAATTGCATATAAGCAGCGGCTGATAACCCTTGGCTTATTACCCCTGTGCTACGAGAGAGAAATAAAAGACTTAGTGTTCTTTTTTAAGGCACTGTATGGACATATTGATCTTGACGTGCATAGTTTCGTTTCATTTGTCAACAATGGCAGAACACGACTTAGTCGAAATCCTTCTCTCACACTCAAAATTCCTTTCTGTAAATCCAAAACATTTCAATCCTCATATTTCAACCGGCTTGTCAAGTTATGGAACCACGTCTGCAAAATTCTTCCCTCTACCACCTTTGCCAGCCTCTCCATCTTCAAAAGATCTCTTAAAGCCACTTACGCTAACTTGGTTACGGCAACATTTGACGTGGACATGCCATGCACCTGGACACTGGTGCGGGACTGCCCCTGCCACAGATCTTAAGTAGTTTTAATAGACGGTTCCTCTTATTGTGTTCACTGAATGCAACCACATTATGCTTGTGAGTTTGAAATTATTATGCTAACACATCCGTGAAGCATTCATTATGCTTGTGAGTTTGAAATTATTTTGCTAACACATCCGTGAAGCATTCAGGTGGTTGTGTTCATGGTGCATACTAATAGGGGGAAGCGGCTTTGATATATTTGTATTTTATGTATGTCTGTATTTATATTTATGTACGTATTCGCTGCTTCGGGGTTTGCACCTTGCATGGGACTTCGCGTCTCGTTTGTGCTTATGCCATTTGAGTTCATATTAATTATACATAATATTAATTATATATAATTATATATAATATTAATTATATAATGTAATGTTCTCAATAAATATATTTGAAATTTGACTGTTTTTAAAGCAAAGCAATTGAAAGGAAAACTTATATTTTCATACGAAGAAGATGAGTGGTGATATTTATGTTGGACTGTTTTGAGCAGATGCTTCGAAGAACATGATATAATCGGACCTTGTATCTTAAAAGTGTACTTGGAACAGCCGAACAAAGTGGTAAATTTGGTTATCCGGTGTGTTGGGCATCATAATTCACAGGAATAGTGCACAGCAGGGTTTAAACTGGCTATGAAATATCCTGAATACTTCGTCGAGTTCTCCACCGCCATGTGACCTGTAGTTTAATGTGACACGCGTCTTTGAAAGGGCTTTACTTGAATTTAATCGACGTGTAAGGTATAACTTAGGTAAGCCAACATTTCTTTGTAATGCAAGCTACATTTTCATATCTTTAATGTGTGAATATTTTTAATTTTGTAAAAAATTAATCGCAATATGTTGTTGGAAAAAGTATCAAGTGCTTCATAATAACGCTCAGATCTTGTATACAGATATTCGTATTTTATTCAAAATCTACCCTTTATCACCACTTTTTTTATTCTTTTATGTTAAAGTATACATAATCCTTGACTTAAAAACACGATGATCTACTCGAGGAAAATTGGGCAAAGGGCCGATCTTTGCAGAGAAACTTGACCGTTTGGTGTAATTGGTAGTTCAGAGACCCTATTTTCATTGTAGTATTTCGTGGCAATTTGTTGGCCGATTTCTAGTTTATATTGTAGAACGGGTTCCTAGTGAGTTAAATTAATTGTCTATCCTCTACAGAGTAGTAATAAGCGCGACTCCTTTTTGTTGACGGATGTTGAATTCATTTTAGACTTTTGTTCATAAACAACAACTACACTACCGAGTACTAAATCACTGTTTGCAAAGAACTGAGCCTATATCACCACAAAAATTCAGCTTATTTTTAGAGTCAAATAGTTTCTCCATCGATAAAAGTAGTTTTTATGGAGTGAAAAATAGGGCAAGTACGAATTTAAAGAAGGTCAATTTATCTCACTTCGAAAAGGATATACATATTAAAAACAGGTATATTTGCACTGCGAAATTAAACTGCTGCAACAAAGTTTTTATTTCTACTTTCACGTTCTTATTCCAAAGCAAACACTTCTAAGTTGGAAATGCCTAAAATTGTGAGCGTAGAAACACTAAAGAAACAAGAAAACGACTTCATAACACGAGTAGTTTTTGCAAATTTGATGTTTGTTTTTATAATTCAGTCACGCGATTAACTCGCGCTCACGTGCACTCCACGCTTACGTTTCTCGCGCATGCGTAGACGGAAGTCCACCCTGTTTACCTGTGTACCCGCTGTTAGCAAGCGAGAATTTTTTTGCCAGGAGGGGCGGCAATGCCGTGCAGCATGTAGATTGGGACGAGTAAACTATTTATGAAACAAAATAAGAATTTATGAATATTCTGATCTTCTAAACATAATTATAATACATGGGTAAGTACAATACCATTTCTAACTTTTTATTTAACAACACTACACCTGTCCTATTGCCCGTGACTCACCTTTTAATTTAGCATACGCTTGTCAAAAAGTCAAAAGTTGAAAAGAACGTGAAGCGTGCTCCAGCCCAATTTCCGGTTCCAAAAGACCCGTTCGCAGGCAAACACTGCACGCAAAGCAGGCTGGTATGGCGGGTGATGTGTGTCAAGATTCAATAACACATTTGGCAATGATAACGTAACATTTTGCTACAATAATACAGCCATTTTCGTCCAAGCACAAACCGCAAACATTTTCGCGCGTTTGTTTACGTTTGAAACGGGGCGTTTACCGTTGGAAACTGAAATGTTTCACCGCTCATGTGACGTGTCACATTGAAAAGCCTTAAGCTATTTTTGGCGCAACTGTCATGTTTTGATGTGCCTCCGTGCACGTTTCAATATGTTCAAGCCCATGATAATACATTTTAGTCACAAAAAGTATGAATATAAACAAGTTTGGTCGCTTATACAATATCGTGAGCTTGGAAATACTGAAAAGTACACGAAAGCACATCAAAACATGAAAAATAACTGAATTAGGCTTTTCACTATAACACGTCGCATGAGCAGTGAAACATGTCCGTTTCCAACGGTAAACGCCACGTTTCAAACGTAAACAAACGCGCGAAAATGTTTGCGGTTTGTGCTTGGACGAAAATGGCTGTAACACATTTGGCAACGATAAAGTAACCTTTTGACGTTTTGCTACAATTTTGTGGCGGTTACAAGACATTTATTAACAATGACAAAACATTCAATGACAAAGTATTATTTTGCAACAACATGCTAGTAAACATATCGTTTTAATATTTGCCAACAATCGTACATTTGGCAAGTACAATCCCCAATGTTTCCGGTCCGTAATTTTCATTATTCAAAATAGGACGTTGTATCACTTGTATGACATCTACGAGAAGTCTGGCCTGATGTAGCAATTCGCTGTAAATTTCGGGATTTCGTGCAGATTTGCTAGGCATCGAAAAAGGTCTTCAGAAAAATCGCGAATACGATCAATAACATCATCAAGCTCTGTTGAAAGGCATTCCGTTACATCAGTCAATAACATTTCCAATCGCGTTATAAGAGCAGTTCGTACTCCGTTTCCTTTGATATCTTGATCGCCATTTTGTGTGAAAATAATTACGCGCCATTTATGCACCGTTTTCGCGCCATTTGGAGCTAGTGCCCAATTGCATCACGGGATTGTACTTGCCAAATGTACGATTGTTGGCAAATATTAAAACGATACGTTTATGTTGTTGCAAAATAATACTTTGTCATTGAATATTTTGTTATTGTTAATAAATGTCTTGTAACCGCCACAAAATTGTAGCAAAAGGTTACTTTATCGTTGCCAAATTTGTTATTATTGTAGCAAAATGTTACGTTGACCTACGTTAGGGACCGGTCATAAAGTAGAGGGGGGGGGGCTATGAAAAATTGGGGGTGGGTCACTATTTTTCAACACGTCGAAAAGGGTGGGTCAGGAAAATTTATGCACTGCATTAGGGGTGGGTCAGGTAAAATTATTCACGTCTCACAATTTAATAAAAAGCAAATAAAAACTTTTGCGAAATCTCTTTAACCTATTAACTTTATATATTAAACAACAGGAATTCACATTTGTATACAGTACATTGGGAAGTGTTCTAGCTACCGTAGTCTACTCAATGTACTGTCATGCATTATGTTTGGACATAGTTGAATTATGTTCAAGAGTCGGGCGGCGTGTTACAACATTTCAATCTCAGAGATTTTTCGGGGATTCTGACTAAACTAGTAAAGAATCGTGGTAAGCCAATGCTGCTAACGTACGCGCACCTATCTACATTACCGTACAGTACATTATCTACATGACGGGGGGGGGGGGGGTCACTAAGATTTCTGCTCTAATCTAGGGGTGGGCCACCTCAATTTATTGTCACAATTTGGGGTGGGTCACTGTAAACCAGTCTTTAAAAAATCAATTTTCATAGCCCACCCCCCCCTCTACTTTATGACCGGTCCCTTATCATTGCCAAATGTGTTATTGAATTTTGACACACATCACCCGCCATAGGCTGGTCATTTCCCATTGTTTAACTGCCCCACTCAAGTAAACCACAAAGACTCACAGATGTTGCTTCGCAACATCCGTGAGTCAAAAAGGACAACCAGTCGCAAACAAATATAACATTGATTGCTGACAAAATTCCAATAACATTGAATAAAACCTGAGAAATATCCTAGAAGAGAGTGCTACAGTGGACAATGGCACCAACTTTGAAGTTATTATTGTACAAAATATCCAATTCTGACTGGCTAAGGAAAGTAATACGTGGCAAGCGGTTGATTTAAGTGTTGACTTCTGACAGTTGTAAACGTGTATTCGGTTGTTGTGTCATTCAAATGACATGAATAAATTATTTATTTCGCATGTGACTCGCGCATGCAAGTAAATACATCTATATCATATATGTCTATTAATTGTCAAATAACTTATTAACAAATAAGAAAATCCTTGCACTGTACAAAAGTCAATATACAAGACAGTGTAGTCAAACTTAAATAATATTTGTATTAAAAATATATAAATTATCATAAAAATGTCATCTATATTTACATTAAATATTTATTACAAATACTTCACTTCTCCCATGTCATCTAAGGTGAACTTTCTAGGCCAAGCAGATGCACCCAGCCCACTTTGTATTCTGGAATCAGAAAGTGTTTCCATGGGAACAAATCTACTGTAGTTGGAGCTGTTTAAGCTATAATTAAGGAAAGTACTTTTGTAAACGCCTTTTAAAATATTGGTTAACGGCATAGTATTAGCGTTTGAAGGTAGGTGTTCGTTTGTAGTCGAAGGCTGCAACGTCTTGCTGGCAACACGTATTGCCATGGCAACAGATTAGCAACAGAGAGCAACAATTATAGCAGCAACCGGTAAAATAGCAGCAGAGGAGTTCGCCATGACAATTCTGCCAAGGTATCCCTCCGGCACCTGTCACACTGACGAGTCAGTGGAAAAATACAATCTATAGTGATACATATTATTGTATTGTACTTGTTGAACTAACAAAGTTTAACGAAAACAAAAATTGGGTGGGGAAAGGGCGAAGGGGTAACAAGCCCAACTTGCTGCAAAAAGGTAAAAACATGCAGGTAAATGATCCGAACAGGGCGCCACGAACGGTTACAAGGCGTCACGAACCACTCAACGGCTGTGACGTCATGGGCTTCCCCCAAACGGAAGTCAACAGGTATGCATAATACATCTGCCGACTGCCGTTAACCTATACTTAAATCTATTTAACCTCATGCAATACTGAATAACTATCTAGAAATATCAGGACTATTTCGGACATATTTTACCATTGTTTTTTCTGTATCGAAATTTGGTCATTTCAGTTCTTATAATAATAAACAGAACATTACACGGTGGCTTGAAGATATGACTTTTATCTTCTCGTGTTAAAAACAATATTTTACTCACTCGTTGTGCTCGTTCGTAAAATATTGTTTTCACCACTCCAAGATAAAAGTCATATATTCGCGCCTCCGTGTAATATCCTCTATATATATATAGGGACTAGCTAACAGTCGTGGGTCGTGGGTAGAATGTCGTGGGTCGTGGGTAGAATGTCGTGGGTCGTGGGTAAAAAGTCGTGGGTCGTGGGTAAAAAGTCGTAAGTCGTGGGTAAAAAGGCGTGGGTCGTGGGTAAAAAGGCGTGGGTCGTGGGTAAAAAGGCGTGGGTCGTGGGTAAAAAGGCGTGGGTCGTGGGTAAAAAGGCGTGGGTCGTGGGTAAAAA